CGCTTTTTCCCGACTCTCCTTTAAGAAAGCCAAAGTTCCCCAGACAGCAAATACAATAAACATAAGCACTGAAAGCGAAATCAAAACAATCACCCACGTTGGAAGTACGTGTTGTGAATCGCTGGGTTGCGAATTTGTTGGTTTTGAAGGATTGTGAGTTGCTGTTATGTTTCCTTTTAGTCGTGTTATCGTTTCCACCCATTGATAGGTTTCGTTTGCCACATCCAGAATGTATATGCGATTGCTAAGAATATAGTTCTGATAACCTATCATGATATTTTCAACATTAGTGGCTGTTCTCATAAAAAAACACCAGTCCAGTTATTGATGCAAAAAAATTACCGAAAGCGAAAATCAAAAAATCATTATATAGGATAGCAGAATGATCGGCTAATTTCTTGCTGGGTCCGAGCTCGATATTACTTATAATCGGTCTTGTCCATTTTAAAGTTTCTATTCCTAAGACAGCCAAACTCATAATATCGATATCGCCTGCTAATCTATTAAATTGAATTTCTGTGAGAAAAGAAAGAATGCGGCAATAAAAAATGGAAATTTAGAATCTATACTTCATGTCATCAGACCCTATTAGTCCGCCGAAAATAAAAATATTCCGTCCGTCCGATGCTGAAAAAGAAAAAAAAGAACTTCAATGTTGAATCATTTGCAAAATAACTTTTACAAAATGTTATTTACATAAAGTTCCTGTATGGCCAAATCGTCTGGGAATCGTTTTCTCGCTGGTGGCATTCTAAAGCGAAAAACGTTTAAAAAATATAAAATAAATGAGAATTGCAACAATTCAAACCTTTATTCACCAAAAAATTCCATTGACTATTATTTGTATTGAAGACTATGATCTAAAAATATCAAAGATTTCAATTATTATCGACTCCCTAACTACGTATCTCAAAGTTTTAAAAGCTTGCCTCATTCATATCTCTATGTGCTGAACTGTTTCCGACTGTCATACCTCCAATATAAAATATTTGCCCGTTCGGTAAAAGTGTAGCGCTATAACCTGAAATTGGCGTTGGCGCATTCACGGATTGTACACTTGTCCATGCTTCTTTCCAATAATCATAAACATACATTTTTGTATCATTTACAGAATTTGATCCCCCGAAAACATAAAATCGCGAATATTTATCCATCACAGAGTTCACTCGATAACGAGAACTCGGTCTATTTGGTATTGTATCATTTAACACTTTTATTGATATACTATTCGTCGTATTCTGTATATTTATCGAGAAAAATGAATTTATGCTTTTTGGATATGTGCTATTTGTGCCATTTTTGATGTCCCGTTGGTCAACAATGGTTAACTTTGAAAGTAGACAGATGAAATAGATTAGCTTTACTCAAAACAATATATTTACTAAAATTGAAAATTACCCCTCCAAATATTTCAATCATTGGCAAATTATTTGTTATACCGGCTGCAGAAGCTGCCAGTGAAATTCCTCCTATTTCCGATGGTATCGTCTCATTAAATGTACCAAATTCAAGACCACTACTATTACTACTACTTAAATTCAATCCATTTTGAAGGTCTAAATAAAATATTTCTCTTGAATTTGTAACATTATCGAGTTTTCCGCCTACAAATACAATTTTCTGGTCTACTAAAATTGCAACATGACCCGCTCGGGGAGCAGGAGTAAAATCACTAGCAAATACACAACCATTATTAATGTCCAGAAAAACTAACGCTAACGAAAAAACGAATATAAATATTCTAAACAAATTCATATTTGATTAATTTGTACATAAATATGAAAAGTCAATAACGATACGTAATTATAATTTATCTGTTGTCAACGTGTTGATTAGAAACTTTTTCAGTTCATTTACTTTAAAAAATTGGCAATTTAAATGAGCCATGTGCATTTGCATGTAAAGAGACTTTGCATATCGAGTTTCAAAACCAGCGTAAAAAAAATCGATTGCTTATAACGATAGCAATTAATGTTAATACGTATATGTAATAGGTAATACCATAGTTGTTTATGGGTGGTTGTAGCAGTAGAATCTGTTTCACATTGTACGTAATTCTAAAAAAAAACTATCGATGTGTTACATGTACGTACTTCGGTTTTCCTAGAAACTTCTTATGAGTACTACTAATAGTGTTGAATAAATTTTGTATCGGTATGAATTATCAATTCAACGTTTATGTTTAATTATCCTGATATGTTACAATGAATTTGAAAAAATTGCTCAAAGATTTGTCTATTTAAAGACAAGAGAATTTATTTTTAGTATTAAATCACAAACGAGAAACGCAAATGTTACCGTTACTGGGACTAATAATATCAGTAAAAATAGTAGTACAAAAGCAATTCACATTTCTCAAAGAACTTCCATCATTCAAGTATGCGTACTACACGATGAACTAGCCCCCGGACATACGTAAGATTCAATTTAAAATTATTTTTTCGCCTTGATAACAAGAGCAGTTTTATCAGAGAAGTAATTAGAGAAAACTTGTGGTTCGAACGACCTTTCACAATTACAGTATTGATTTCGAAAAATTAACACTCCAAGTTCTCTATGAAATGCAGAAAATTTAGTTTTAATCAAATTTCTTTATCCTTTATTACTAATCAACGCAATCAACTGCAAAATGTTGAATTTATTAGGGCGCTAACCTGTTATTTACTGTTATTTGTGTAATACAGTAAAGTACCCCCGTAGAAAATTCAAACCTTAACGTTAATTTGATCTCAAAACTATTATAGATTTTTGAAGAAATTAAGGTTCAAGGGGGACTTTATATAGCAAAATGCATATTTAATTTCTTAATTTATGCTATAATTAATTGCAATTAGAGAGATTATACATGTACAGCTTGCATGAATTTTTAATGTGCAGTATTGTGGATATGCTCAGGAAGCGTCTATCATATTCACGGATTAAATTTTGTATTCACTTCTTAGTAAAGATATTTTTACATTTATAAAATACTAATGTTTGATGACTTTAAACTTTATGCACCATAGCATAAAAATCCCTAAGTAAAAAGCAGAAAATTATAATAAGCAAATTTTTAAGCGCAGTTAAATAAAATCTTCTAGGATTCTAACATTTTTTATCATTCTACAAGAAAAACAAAAAATCATGGCACTGTACTAAAGGACAATCTAAAGTTTTGGCTTATGCTTTCATACTAACTAACGACTATAGTAGGTTATTTAAAAAGATATTGAATTTTATTTGAATTACTCAATCATGGATGTCTACTTTGGCTTTATTTTCAACACAAGTTTTACTAAGACATTATGCTATAGATTATTTGCGTAACGATTATTTGATTTCAACGCGTTTACCGATGGATTCTTCGGAGCGAGGAACCTGCATAGAACCGAAATATGAAAATATTTAAGCAAGAATTATACGAGATCTTTGAATAGCCATTACAGTATGATTAATATGTTTACCTTAACTTGGAGGACCCCATCTTCGAACTTCGCTTCTACCTTATCGGCTTGAACACCGGTTGGCAATGGGATTGTGCGCTATCATGGTAAATTAATTTGTTTAGCACCATACAGTCACAATTGGCAAATACGTGATAGAACAAAATATATAAAACATACCGTGAATCGGCCTTTAGGACGTTCACTGTAGATGCCTCGTTGATTTTCTTGTCCGTTGTGGGGTCTTTCACCACTATATAGTGTTTTGGTTAAGTGAATGCGCATGATGTTGACCAAACAAATATAATTTTGAAACACGATTCATACGAAAAGATCAAAGAGACACCACAAACATCAACTATTGTGTTCGGAGTAAGAAAAGATTTAATCCGATGACTGCAAATCGATAGAGTAAATTGAATTTTCATTTCAATGTACCTTTTACTTTGTCTTTAGGAACACCTGGGAGGTCGACTGTAATTAACGTAATAGCGAGTGTTAATGAAAAACGATACGTTATTACTCCATGTATAATGCATCTTTACCTGTCACATAATATTCTCGACCGCTGTCGCGAACTAAAAAAAAAATACAAGGTTAAGCGTGTAAGATTTATAAAAATCATTTTGCAGAAAAAGAAAATTTTCTTAAGTCAACTAAACCATCGACATTGGGAATCCAAGTATTATCAGCGTCAGTTTGCTGTCCACCACGACTACCTTTGCCAAATGCAGCAAAGTCTTTGAAGAAGTCGCGAACTATTTGGTCCATTTCCCGATGAAAGCTTCGAATAGCACGATCAGCAACAGGGTCGCCAATGCTGTCGCGAGTAAGTGCCATTATAGTAAATTGGATTTAATAAAAAACAACAGAAAGAAGAAAGGGTAAATTTCTTGGGAGAGACTTATAATGAACAAGAATTAGATAAAAAAGAATATAGGTCGCTATATATAGGTGTGAGTGTACGTGAGAAGATACTAGATTGTTCATGATGTAATTGTGGAGTCTATACGCAATAGAAAACATTACTTCACTTTCGTAGTATGTAAATATGACACATTAACAAATTATTAATTAGACATTCAGATGATAATTGTGTGCAATTTTTATAAACTTCTTTGATAACAATAATTAAAGAATACGAGCTAGCGGATCGATAACGTTAATGTCCACTTAATTTTGAAGTTACCATGAAATAAAAATATTATCTCTCAGCACGATTACAAATATCAACACAAGATCCAAATTTTTCTGGTTATTTGCATCAAGCTTTCGCGGACCCGATTCAAAGCGCATCATTTTCCTCAAAAATTTCAAACTTGTCATCTTGTAAATGAAAACCAGTGAAATCTATACTTATCGTTATGATTATATTTATACACGAATTTGGCAAATGAGTCATTAGTAATAAAAAAACGCGTAGTAAAAAAAAAATAATTACATTTTTCTCTACAATAATTGGTTTGCAGAAAAGTGATTGTAAAACAAAGCTATAAAACAAACGTGGAAAAAAATAAAAATTTCATCAATATGGTTATTTTAATCAATGAGTCGAATTTATGTACGACCGCACTTTATCCCTTCCTTTTGTCATAAACACGCTGTTAAGTGATGCGTTTAGAGATGACGTGGCAATAAATGTTTTATATATATCCATCGGTATTCTGATTTCTAAGTTATAAGGACTTTTACCAACCAAAGATCAATACTAATAACAATCAGTGTTACTTAACAACCATGTCGAAACAAAAGTGAATATTAAATAATTTCAAACGCTTTTGCTTAAAAAAAATTTAAATTGTATTTAATCTATTCTCTAGAAAGTCAAAACTTATTCATACTGAAAACCAAGAAAAAAATGTGCCACTCATAAACACCAACTCTTTTGTCTCAGTTCCACCCGAGATATTTATCGACGTCTGCAAATATTTGCCACCAATTGATCTTCTTTCGCTTGCACAAGTATGTCGTTTATTCAACGCGTACTTAGCATCTGATGAATCAACATCTACTCAACTTATTTGGCGTCAATCACGCTTTAACTTTCTCCCCTGCTATTCTGTTCCGCCGCCTGATAATTTTTCGGAACGAGAATATCTGAGATTGATTGTCGAAAAAGGTTGTCAGAGATGTGAAAATCGCCGCGTAAATTCTTATTGGATTAATTGGAGTTTCTTGGCGAGATGTTGTTGTCGTTGTTTCAATACGAATCTTTGCCTGTAATTAGCTTTTTTATTTAAGATTTGCAAATTTTTGTTAAGCTATCGTTTTTCATTTATAAGAACATTTATTGCTTTCTATATATAGCAAAGAAACATTGGAACAAGATTACAATATTCCACATAAAGTTATCGAAGTTTTGCCAACACGTTCAACACGTGATATTTCTATATATTTTAAGCCTATTGCAAAGAAAATCTACAGACAATACCTCGAACTCTCCGATGAAAAGGACAAACTCCTATTTCTCGAGCGACAAAGGAAAATACGCTCCCAATTAGAAACAACTCAATCCCTTCGCAGCGCAAACGAAATATCGCACAAGAACTCAATGGCTCTAAACGCGCTGAGACAACGAGAAATTCGTCGCGAGGCAATCAAACAACGCGTCTCTGCCATGATTAATGAACAGAAGGAAGACGGAAGTTTGAAGTGGAACGCAAAGTATATTCTGAAATATTCTGAGGTTTATTATAACGCGATACATTCAAAGTCTAAACGTCCTTTCACAGATCGTGCATGGCGGTTGTTGAAAAGAAAACTTGAAATTGAGCAGGTTAATTTATTATAATTTATCTATATATACTCCGAACATTTTTTCATATAGACATATACAGTATATATATAGACACTTATAATGCTACTGGCTGATAATTTGTATTAAGCATAGTATAGAACATTAATAATAGACCAAAAATCAACAATGAAACGTAACACGTGTCGTAACATATCTAGCGTTAATTTTGCAGTTGAGAATAAAACTTTTCATTTACAAGTATGAATAACGTGAATGATAATATAATGTACACATTCATTCTCTTTATAGTGTAGCAAAATTTCCGACACTTTTCCACAATTGAGCAGATTTCTTGACAATAGCTTTTTCAATCCTTTATAAAAAAGAAAATTCATCAATCAAAAATCGATCAAAACGGAAGTTCTCTATAGTGAATTTCACATTATTGGATGATCCCGAATTTTATTAAATAAAACAAATGAATAATATACCGAATTTTTATAACAAATTTATTACGAATCGTAAACGAGATTAAATTATGTTGACGCAGGTGGATCGTAATTAGACGTAATCGACGATTTTCCTGCAACGAAAGAGTGAGTAGACTTGATGATGTTCGTTAGTTTCTAATTCCTGTACCGATATCATTCAATATACCGGTCGAGAGGGGTTTCAGAAGAGAAGTTAGATTGTTCGGGTTTTGGATAAGGTGGTTTGGGTTTCTATATTTTATGCGATGTTCTCTATCGATACTGTCATTAATGTAACTTCGTTGCTTTGTCCTAGCTGAAAGCCTTAAACTATTCAACAATAACGCGCTTTCAATCAATCAATATTCCATTAACGATATCAATGTCCAATCGATGTCTTTTCTGGATCAAAGGTCCTAACCACAATCAACTACAATGACTTTTACAACTCTAAATTACTTGGAGAGAAATTGTATGCAATTAATTCTCTGATCCATTATTAATGTCCTTGAGTTTTTGAATTACATCGTGAGACGTTATTCTAGAACTTAATGTATAACATCTAAGAGAGAATTTAAAATATATTAAAACAGGAGAGATAAGCGTAGAATTAAGAATTGATGAAAAAAATATAAAACAGAAGAGATTTGAAATATAACACCGCATAGAGATCGATTGTAATGCGACATGGAATTTTGGATAGAATAAAGGGGATCAATGAAATTAGGCTGGGCGCGCCTTACCGAAAATCGTGAAATCGGCGAAATTAGCTCTAACCCGGTAACAATGCAATGTATAACGATAACGAATTTTTTAAGTCGTACTATAATACATGAGGTGATTAGCTATTAAAGGCAATTTGCATTATCGATGATAAATACAGTATTTTCGTTCAAATTGGAGATCGAGATATCGATATTACGTACATTTTAAAGTGACAGATATTTGTCGATCCCAAAATGAATCGGTCACTTTAGCGTTAGGGCGTGATATCTCGATCTCCAGCGATCCATTCGAACAAAAATAATATATATATATACAGTATATATATATATCGTTCGATCTGTCTAGTCGAGATGAATCGGATCACTGGAGATCGAGATATCACGTCCTAAATTGGCTGATTAATTTTTGTTAATGTCAAAAAAATGAATCTGCTACTTTAAGACGTCCAGTGATCGGATTTGAACAAAAATACTACCATTCGATTAGGCGAATCGAATGGTGGTATTTTTGTTCAAATCGGATGAATTAGATTATTGGATATTGATATGTGTGTTATGAAATAACTGATTATACCTGTATTTGGAACGTGAACATACAATACCCGATATAGAAGCTTTTAAAATGTATCAATAATCAGCACGGAAAATTTGGTACATTGATCGATACAATAATAGTACAGATTTTTTATGTAAATTTTTCTTAAAAGTTTATATGAAATCTTTTATTATTATTGAAATATAAGAATACTCAACATACATTAAAATTATATCTTATATTATATCTTATATTATATTTTGACACTATTTTGAGAATGATATCTCTTTCTTGAAAAGCTATAAGCTTGTAAATTTTGTATTTTTATTATTAATGATTTTTCCAAAAATTTTTTTATTATTGGATTACTAAAAAACTCAACATACAATTACACGATATTACAGCTTGATACTATTTTAAGAATAATATCTTTTTTCTTGAGAAGTTATAAGTTTTTAAGGTCTGTATATAATAAGTTTTATTATTAATTTTGATTTAATTAATACATGATACTAATATAGTATGGATGTTTTTCCGAGAGTTAGTAAGTTTTCATCTTTTTTTTTAAGTTTCGCATAGTTATAATAAATATGATGGATGTATAAGGAAAAGGAGATTTTTATAAAATCATAGAATAATGCATGTAATGAATATATGGATAAAAAAATTCAACTTATAAGAGCGGGGGGGGGTTAAAAATATCAATTTAGACTATAATATGATATCATAAATAAAATAAAGTTTAAAATAAGAGTTAAAATAATAAATGAAATGAGGTAAATGTATAATAAATAAAAAAAGTAGAACGTATGAATAAGCATATAAGGATGTAGTAAAAATAATGATGAAAAATTAATATAATAAAAAAGATCATAAATACGAACGAAAAAAAAAACTTAAAACGAATCGTGTTTCCTTAAAGACGCGAAAAAAAAGTTAACAAGCTACGAATTTTTTCCTTATTTTCTAAGATAAATGAGATATTTAATCACTTTGGTTCTTTATATTCGACTAGGATAACATCTTTTTGCGAGTGATTTGTTTTAAACCATCAATAGCAAATTTTTTGGGTTCAACAAGTAAAAGCTTTGTAAAAACATAGTTGACATTCGAATTGAAGTTTTTTAGGCTGAAGTCATTTGTTATTGGTCGATACACGTCGTTTATCGTCAAAATGAACATACAATAATCCAATAATGATCATTGCCCACCAACTAAAATAGCCGACTGTCGTCCAAACGGTCGCGGTCGTACGAAACCCGAATAATGAATTGAGAAATGACCATCCGTCACTAATGCAACAATCGATGTCCCAGATGATGTCATTCTTATCAATTTTGCCTATCTTCGTTTGGAATTTACCGACGCTATTTGAAAATGAGCCAGCCGAGATGAAGAAGAGAAACGTGATCATTGCAGTGAAAAAAGTTGTGTTATTCATCGCAAGTGAACCGCAATAAATCACGTATCCAATAATGATCCCAATCGTAATTGCCGTGATAGCTGGTAAAGATATTCTTGAAGTACTGAAGCCATTCTATAGCAAATACATGTAATTAGCATTTGTTAGCACAAATATGCTGGATTCAGGTGATTTATTAATGCTTACCCCAGCGATAAAGACGATTGATTCGAAAACCGCGCGTAGTACTAACGAGAAAGACAATAAAAACAAGGCCCACTTTTTACATATCTGGTGTTTTTCAAGATAAACGTTAACCGCATCTTTTAGATGAGGTTCCCATTGATTGATTCTAACCAAATGAAAATCCGCAAAAGTAATGATGATTGCGATGATGAAGTAAAATGTGCCTTCTGTTAAAGATAAACATATTAAATTTGTGAGTTCGAAAAGTGCCCAATATACATCATACACGCCAATATCTCGTAATGACAATATCCGTAATTATAACTTGGTGCATACCCCAAATCAATTTGATTTCTCTCCAAAGATTACGCGCATCAACATAGAAGACTACGAAGAGAACACCGATCAACATTGCTACAATTATGCCGGCAATTATGCCAGCCCAGATATTTCGTTTCAATTTTCGTTTCAATAAATCATTATTGGGCAAGAGTTGGTCTATGAACCCAAACAAGACAGAAAGGATTACGATACATTCAAGAGTTTGGCGTAAAAGAATGAAAAACGCGGGAAAGTCGAATAGATAAACCATTGTATAGGAATTATTGGAATTTTTGAAATTTCAAATACAAGGAGCCTCCTCTAACTAGAACATACATAACAGAAAATCCCAAGGAAATAGAAAAAGGGTCTAGAGTAAGAGTTTCAGGCTTTTGCCGTTCAGATTTTGAATCAACTTCTACTTGGTTAGACGATCAAAATCTGATAACGAATTTGCCCGGGAAATTGCGGTTCAAATGATCATCGAAATACCTCTCCCCTTACAAAAAATCTGAGGTTATAGAAATGCTAAGCTTTTTTCGGCTTAGCAAACAGGTGAAAATTTTTATCAGATTCTGTAAACAAACAACCATACATATTTGGTCCCATTATTACACAAAATTATCAGATTTTTAATAAAATAATTATCAGATTTTTTAATTATGCGATTATCGATTCCAGAAACATTTCTAGAATTAACTCGAATAGGAAATGAGTAGAATGAAAAACGTGAATATTTTTATCTCTTTTAAAGAGGCTGTATCTTTTGTACATGTAATTAGCTATAGACGGACGAGTGGATATCATGAACGCATTTACAATACAACTAATAAACTTCCATGTGGTTACACATTTACAATCTCATGCGAACAAGAATGTTAAGGAATATTAATTAAAGCAATTATGAATTGTGGTTTCAGATCGATACAAAAAAGCAATCTATTATTTCTTTCTAAAAAAAAAAACAATTCTAGCGATCAAAAAAAAACTTCTACTAAAAACCAATTTTTTGCCACTAGTCAGACAACTATTTGATCAGTCAGCTGGAAAAACAAAAAAAATATTATACTTACAGGTTAATATACATATACATTTGTACTGTTCCTATCAGTTATTTTATTTAGCGTTGGTTAGTTTTTTGTATAAATGTCAATCAAATAATGAATGGACAGATGGGCTAAGTGCAATAGAAACGGTGTAAATTATATTATACATTTTACACCGTTACTATTGCACTCAGCCCAGATATACAGATTCTCTTATATTACACCTATCGCTATGTTTGATACCAAATTATAAAAAAAATTTTATATGTTCCCGATCATGACGACTATAAGGAGATTTGAACGTAGTTATTTTTAAGCATAAAGTATCCTCTTCACTTCTTTTCTTTAAAAAAATTACACACTACACAGTCAACCCTGTTAAACCGAAGTACTAATTAAAACCTGAAGCCGAATTTAGTTCCAAAAACAGTTATAGTAAACCTATCTCGATAACGATAAGTTCAAGTACAGTTATAGTAATCTGCCTCTATGTTACCTGTTCGGATTAACTCTTTTTAGCTATAAAAGGATGAAAATCATATACATCATGCGACTTTGTGCTCACATAACGAATGGTTTTATTTTTTTAAAGCTCTATATCCCTGAATCCTTCTTGGCATACTTGTTTATCAGATATATAGTAGGCTCTATAATAAATAGGTGCCTGTGAGTATCTGTAAAAAAATACGCGAAAAAGTCTGTTATGTCTGTAAACGCCCCTGTAAATTACCTGATACTTTTTGATCTGGTGAATCATTATTGATATGTAATTCAAATAAGCTAGCTAGTCATTTATATACTTTAGTTTGTATTTATTGTTATATGCAAGAACTGCCTTGTTAAAATCTTTGATTTAATAAATGACAACAAAACTTGAATGTAATCTTGATGATTCATGGCACTCTGGATTTCCAAGTCCTTTTCGCAAAAACAGTTCTATACCATCCATGATCGCATGACAAATTTTCAATATTATATTTGGTTTCTGGCATTCTTCACACTTAACAATTGGAACCATCATTTTTTGAAAAGTGCGAATCTTAATTCATCATTCGAAATTAATGCATTCTTGTACCAAGCAAATTTTCTTCTTTTGTAACTTTATTATACAAAAATTACTCGAATATTTTTATTACTCAAATGTATTATCAGAAAAACCTGTTCGAGTTCAGGGATCCTAAATTGGTGCAGTAAAACCTATGCTTTGCTGTTTGAACCAATTATTACAGGCCCAAAAAATAGATTCCAACCCTATGAAAAATGAATGGCCGATATTTGTTGGCATTTATCTATACAGTTGAACCTCGTTATAAAGTATAATTAAAATTTCTTGATACATAATAAATTTCTGAAAATTCCCAAAACATATAACCTTATAATTAAAAACTCTCGTTATAGTAAATTTCTCATCTCTACACGTTTTTGACTTATCTTATATCTATACAAAAATGCATCATACCGTATGCATTAAAATTGTATAAATCAAAAAACTGTAGGAAAAATCGAAGATATGTAAATAAATATAAGTTATTTTTTTCATAGAACAATTGAATCACAATTATCTTCTACCTGAAATTACAGTCCACAGTGTACTAATCATTGTGAGTCTTCGAATGGCAATCAAGGTCGTCATGTTAACAACTCGAGTTAATGAGAATCTCCTTTATTTCTTTAAGTCCATGTCCCTAGGCCTTGATTGCCCAGATGTGATTGCTTCTAAGGCCGTCGTAAAATCCATGTTCAATCGTTGCGAGTTAATAAAAATAAAAATATTGAAATACAGTACTATTAAAGTTATTATATCTACTTTAATCAATTTTTTTGACCTGCGTCAACACTACGTCCGAAAAATTGTAACTTCATCATTTTTTATTTCTAATATGCTATTCATGATGGTCTCTAGCTTGACTGAGCGACTTATAATTGTGGAATGTTTTTATGTCTCGGTAATTCCTAAACTTCGCTCAAGTTTTCCCTTTGAAATATCAACTAACTATTTAAACGTAAATCGCGCGGCCATTTCAACTTTTTCAAGAAAATTTGGATTATTTATTGGATTTGTTTCGTCTTTTCGAATTGAAGGCTTACCGTATATCTCCGATAATAAGCTACCCCTTTTTAGCCAAAATCTGGTGCAAAAAGTATATGTAAACTTGACCCCACAACTAAGTTAACCCCCCCCCACCCTTTGTTTTGAAGTCTAAAATGGTGTCAAAAATAATAGCTTATTTTTGGAGATATACGGTATCTCTTCATGCAAAAAATAATTTTAATTGCATTGCATCAACAGATGATAAGTCTTCGCGTGCACCAAAAGAATTGTCATGATTGATTCTTAAAAAATAAAAAATAACCATAATGTTACGATTATTATGAAGGAAATCAGTATGTGAATTTCCCATCATGGTTTATTTTTGAAATTAATGACAGTCTTTTAAAGAATAATAAAAAAGAGAATAGTGCTTTACCCATATCAATTGAAACTATCTGCTTGAAACTTTGTGCTCTCCTCAACTGATGATTTGCATCTTGGATCTTCTACCGTATACTCCCGAAATTAAGCACCCCATGCCCGCATTATGACAATTTTGGCCAGAATTATGAGGATCTTGTCCAGCGTTATGTGCAAAAAAGAAGTGCTTAATTTCGGAAGTATTCAGTAGGTTTGTTTGAACATTTGAATCGAACAATTTAAGTTAACATTTAAAAATGAATTTCACGATCAATTCGAGTTAATTAACATTATTCATTTGTTATGTTATGTTTACCATTCATTATTATTTTAAAAGCCTGTATTGCATTCATTAGTGGTTCGTCTGCCATAGTCAAAATAATTACGTTCTTAGATTTATCAGAAAGTATATCACCTCTCACTTGACAAATTTTAATAAAGAATCGCTTCGCAGAGCTCTTAGGATGATAATTTTATGTGCCTTGAAAGGCTAAATATATAGGTAGCTAGGTTTGAGCTTTAATTATATTTTGTAATTTCATAATATTCAATTAGTTTCTTCAATATTCCAAAAGTATATTTAACGACAAAGAAATAAGATGCAGAGCATGGTCTACTCATTAATTCCATTTACAGTAGTTAAAGGTGTAATGGTTAATTAAAAGTACAGAAAACATCAATTCCGAGAGTTGCGGTTATACATTTAGTTCCTCATAGTCACAACTCTCTTATATTCACACCTAATTTTTGGTACTAAATTATTACTCAAATATAAAAGATATTCTTTTTTATAGTCACACTTCTTTTTACTCATCATTTTCTCAATGTGACTACAAGGAGGTCTGACTGTAAACATGAGTTGAATTTCACAGGATTTGGAATTGGAGATTGTATGTATATTAAACTTTGTTTTATTTCTTCTTTAGCGATATTCACAGTAATCAGTTACGCACAAAAGTTTAAAATTAAAACTTCATTTGTAACTTTTGGTTAACATCGGTAACGAAGCATTTTGTCAATTATTTAAATGAAAAAATAAATTTATTTCATGTAATATACACAGATGTCCTTCAATATGAATGCGGTCCTTTTTAACTATTTATAAATTTTCTGCGACCTTCTTTAGATGGTAATTTTTTTATAAAAAAAATTTTTATATATTTATATGAATCAATTCGATTGTGTTTTTGTGTACGTACATGTATTATTTACATTAGTAGAGAAATATGCAATGCACAATTTCATGGAAGAAAACATGTAAAGGATAATCATATTTTGGTTTCTTTTTGATGAGTGTCCAGTTGTTAAAATTCAAAACTTTTCTGTATATTATTAATTCATAAAAAATGTATTTACTTGCCGAAACTTTCCATAAAAAAGCAAACGTGATACTGGGGCCAATTATATTTGTAGGAGCTAAGCTGAGATCTTTTTTGGCACTGTTACTGAAATTCAACCCGAAAATCGGCAGAACCTGCACCTTGACCATCTTGAGTGCTTCGGCTCCCAATCTCGTTTTACCTATCAGAAATGGAATACAAATCAACCAATACTTATTTTATATTTCAAACTCATTGACAGAACCTTCATAGCAATTCCAGCAATTCAAGGAATTTGCATTCGGCGTTACTTGTTGATTTCGAATATTTTCTCTCGGACTTCCCGTATCTGGTCATCATAGCTTCGTCTTCACCGAAATTTTTTCATCAACAGGCAAAGGTCGCAGCCTCGGTGAACGTGCGAAATAGCATACAAAATTCCGGTTAGAGATATCGGACTATAATACTAAACGCAAAACACATACGGAAATAACGGTAAATATATTACTAGTGCGATAACCGTATTCGTCAAACAATCGATTTTGCTATTGGATCCAAATCATTAGGTCGGATACCGAGAAGTAGAGAAAAGAGGAAAAATTTTCACTGTGTGGTAAAAGTTCTGTTTTTAAGTTCTATAAAGGTATGGCTCTTCTTTTTTTATAAACTGAACTTTTTGTAGTAAATGTACCGATTGTAAAAAATGAGGTTGTTTACATTATCACTACTTATCAACTTTTTAAAACCGAATAGTCTAATATATGAGCCTTCAAAAATAATTCAGATTGTTATTAAGTGCACAACGAAATGTACTTTATTATGAAATTAAAACCCAATTACGAGAAATTAGGTTGATCACACGATAACGCCACGGTTGAAAAGAAGAAACAACTTAAAGTGAGAGAGTATCTCTTGCGTTAGTGTTGTAGCTAGCCGTGGGACTTCATCTCCTACACGTTGATGGACTTCGTCTCCGCTACAATCCAGTCTTGCACACATAGAATACCAGTATTGTAGCTGGCTGTGGCTTCATCTTCTGCACGTTGATGGACTTTGTCTCCGCTACAATTCACCAATGGACTAAGTTATATATATATATTTGTCAAAACATTCCTTTTTCTTCTACAAAAATGTGACCATATATTCATCAATAACATTCAAAAGGAGGCTGTTATTAAGATTCGGGAATTTCAAATAAAAAAATAAAAAACCAATTAAGAACTTTACTTTTGATATTAATTAATACTATATGAATAAATGAAAATATTAAAATTGTTTCCACTTAATAATTTTAAAATAAATAATTAATATATATTTTAAAAAGAGATAAAATATTATAATATATTAAAATTTTTTATTTTATTTTGAAAATTAAAAAAGATAAATTACTTTTAAAATATATTTCTATAATAGATTACCAAAAATTCAAAAAGCATAGTAAAATATAATAAAAATTAAAAATTTCTATTTATAATAAAATTTTTATTTTAATTAGTAAATATTTTTTCTTTTTGTATCAAATAAAGATAAGAATCTGTATTTTAATATATATTTTCAAATTTAATTTCAATAATATTTCTAATTACAAAGTTGATTATACAAACTTTTTATATTTAAATTATAAAAATTTGTATTATTTTCATTTTAATATAAAAATAAAAAATATTTATTAATAAAATTATAAACTTTTATATAAAGAGAAAAATCTATATTTTACTATATTTAATTAATAAATTTTGATATTATTACATTATTTTTGATCTATTATATATTAAAATATAACTTATAATTTTAATTTTAATATAAGATAAAATATATTTATTAATAAAATTAAAAATATTAATATAAGACAAAAATTTTAATTTTTACTAATTATTATATATTAAGTTTTTTAATTTATAATTTTATTAAATTAAAATTAGCATTAAATTAATTATTATATTATAAAGCACTTTATATAATATTTCTTTTAAAACTCGTATTTTTCATATTTTTACTATGTTTTATTAATAAATTTGTTTTAGCATTCCATTCTTTTTGATTTTATTATATAATAAATTAACAAAAATAATAAATTAAATATAATAAAAATTATTAATTTATTAATAAATAATTTTGATTTTTATATTAAAATAAAGATAATAATCTAATTTTAATATATATTTTTTTAGAATTTTTAAATTTTATTAATTTTAACTAAATAAATCTAAAAATATAAAAAAAATATATTAAGATATAGATTATTATCTTTAAATAGAATCTTTTAATATAAAAAAGATATTTTATTTTATTGTATTTTTTTTAAATTTTGATAATTTATTATAATAATATATAATCTAAATTTAAAGTTATTTATAAAATTTGTAATTTATTTAATTAAAAATTAAAAGTTTTAATATATTAAAAATATTGTTTTTATTATTTTGAGATTATTACTTATTCAAATATTTCAAAAATACTAAATAAAAATTATAAACTTACTATTAATAATTTTATTTTAAATTTTTAATTTTTTTATTTTGCTTTTTATTTTAATTTTTCATTATTTATTTTTAAATATATTTAAAATTTATATAAATAGATAATACTAATTTTTAATTGTTATAAATTCTTAATTTAGTATTATTATCTGAATATAATTATTTGATTATAGCTAAAATAATATTAATTTTTTATTTATATTTTAATATAAAATGAAAATTAGAAATTCAAAAACTAAAACAATTTATATATATAATAATAATAATAAACTAATATAATAATATTAAAATTTATTATTAAATTATAATATTATATTATTTTTTTGATTATTATTATATTTAAATTATAATACTAATTAATATAAACTTTCTTTAAGTTATATTTTTATAGTTATTTAATTTGGCTTTTTTAATAATAATAATTATAGAAAATTTGATTATATATTTATTTTTGCAAATAACAAAAGTAATATTTTTAATATAAATTATATTTAATTATATATATTATTTTTGTTAATAAATTAAATTTATTTATATTATATTATATTATTATAATATATTTTGATAACAATTATTTACTAATTTAATATATATATTAATTATATTTTTAAATATTTTAATAGCTCTTTAAATATATATAATTATATAATATTAATACAAAAAATTAGTATTTAAGTTAGTATATAAATTAAAATATTATTTATTTTATTTTTCTTTATAATTTATTTTTTTTCAATTTATAATTTTAATAAATATTAATATAAAATTTAGATATATTTTTATTTGATTTCTTTTTTTAATACTTGTTTATGTTAATTTTCTAATTTTAAAATTAATAAAAATATATAATAATAAAAAAATTCAAATTATTTCTTTATAATAAAATTTTTATTTTTATTAATAAATATTTTTTGTTTTTATATCAAATAAAATTAAGAATCTGTATTTTAATATAGATTTTTTATAAATTTTTAAATTTAATTTCAATAATATTTTGAATTATAATATTAATTATACAAACTTTTATAATTAAAAATTTTAATTATAAAATATTTTTATAACTAATTTTACAATTTGAAATATTAATAAAAATAAAAATTTTATTATAGAGAGATAATTTCAATTTTTACTATATTTTACTATGCTTTTTTGAATTTATTGTAGAAATATTTAATTTAAATTTATTATAGTTCTTATTCTCTTTTTTTAATTGATTAATAAATAAGAATTATAAGATTTTTAAAATTATAAAAAAATCTAATTAAAATAAGATATCTCTTTATTCTAAGAAATTAGCTAATTTTATTCATTTCTAAAATTAAATCAAAATCACCAGAATTAAGAGTTCAGGATTATTTTTTTTCTCCAGATTATTAATTTACCAATTAAAATTCTATACATATAATATAAATAATATTTTACATGATTTTTCATATGGAAATAATCATGTATTTTTACATGAAGAATCCAGTCAATCCGAAATGGTTCATGTGATATACGTATCTAGTACTTTAAAATCGGAGCATTTTTATTATGAGTTCTATTCAAGTGAGGCTGTGTCCAAAACATAGTCGATAGAAAGTTAGGGTTTTAGGTGTAGGAGTTGTAGCCCCGTCTATAGCAAATGGATATTCTTGCTGATGACTAGTTAATTAATGTTAGCTGTCCATCTGTCCATATCGATACTATGCAAAAGAAATTGCATTAAAATGACAACTTTGGAATCTTGTGATATAAAGATTATTATTCTCTGATTTTGTATGCTGCACCTAGTCAACATATTGATATCACGTCATTATCAATTTACAATCAAATACATAACGCGTGTATGCATGTGATAATGCTTAAAATAACTGATTTTTGTTTATTTCTATGACCATTATTTGTTTATTTCCATGACCATTATTTGATTGAATGCCTACGTATTTAGCGATAACGATAGTATTCTTTTCAGCAAAATCAATGCTTTTATTCAAATAGGAAATTTTTCGCGCGGTTACACTAAAGTTGTGTACGGGGCGTGTGATCAAATTTCTTGCGTTATCTGTACGTCTTTACTCGTATATGTACCGTCATGAACATGTAATTTCATCCTGCATTTGTCAAACACCAAAACATTCAATCAATCGATGCTAGTATTTAAATGTCAAGTGTCAGTGTCCACGATACGTTGTGTATTACGTATGTATTACCAAATCGACAAACATTACTATAACTTATTCTGAAGAAACGGAAAATAATTGATTTACTTTCTGAACACATGGTGTAAATAAATTAATATCGTCGGAGGCTGTTGTCATTAGAGAGGATGTTATTATGCATTGAGACGTTTGTTTTATATGGGTTAGGGTACATGCATAAGGCCTGAGGGAGTGCAAAGTATTTTATTTATTTCATAATGCAAGTATAACCAACCACTTAATATTTCTTTCCCCGTTTTTCCTCTTAATTTCTTTCTTTTTATTGTTAAATACATAAAATAAACTTTTAAAATAAAGTCAATATTTTTACGGCCGGTTCTTGAATCAAAATAAAAAATAACAGAAAAATGAGCTATAGTTATAATATTCAATCGCCAGCACAATACTTGATAAACGAGCTTCTGGAAAATGTGTTTCTAAACTGCAAAACGAGTGATTGGTTTCGCTTCTTACTTGTAAATCGACATTGGTGTAGCAATGCAATTAGATTAATTTGGCGGTCGCCGTTTTTTTACTCGGAAGACCATAGAATTATTGATGTTTATTTGTCGTTTTTGAATAATGAAGAGCGAGCTGAACTTAAAACTAAAGGTGTTGTTGTGCCACCAACTCCTTCCACATTTTTTCAATATCCGGTGTTTCTTCGCGGAATGGATTTTAAAGCTTTGGATGCTGCAATTAGGGATTGGATGTTCTTTAATGTTCATCCACCGATAACAGCCGTACATGAAGAAATCCTAGAGACTCTAAATGACAATACAACAAACAACATTATGCAAATTGAACCCGGACCGATACTCATCACATGTAAAGATTCGTTCGCCATATCATCCTCAAATCCAGCAGCAGCCTCTTCAAGTCATAAGAAAATCGAACCTGACAGCATTGAGACTTCAAAATCAAACCGACCAAACTATTCTTATTTAGTCACGGGTACGACTAGCGATGATTTCGCATGGCATCGAGCAGTCAAAAGTGTCCTCGTGAAAATGTTTTTGAGATATGCACCGCCACTTTCAATAATATGTGTCGACGAGCCCGAAATATTTTCAATTGGAGACGAGGAACATTTTGTGCATTGGATAAGCCAAGTTCGAGAGTTGAGTTTAGTTGCCGATTTCGGATGGTGGGATATTATTCCGGTGTTATCGATTGGTTGTAAGAATTTGGTAAGCCGAAACATTAATACTTTCTTTTTAGAATTTCAAATTGCAATGACAATTTTTTTAATGCTGTTTCCATGATTTTTCTACAGAATACCTTAATGGTTTCACATTTGCCGAATTTCAAAGAAAAAGAACCAGAGCAAGTTTCCTTATTTTTTGATTTCTTAACCAAACAAGAAAAACTCGTTCGATTCGAATTAAAAAATTCTGAATGCTTTCACGAGGGTCTCGAACGAGTACTCGAGGCGTTACCAGCCACACTACAACACCTAGTTTTCCAAGCGGACAATAAACCGGACGGTCCAAATTCACTTGACGTCTTGACAAGATTTCGATGTTTGCAATCTCTTGAATTTTGGGGCGAATTCACATTAACCGACACACTTATCCGACCATTCACATCCAATAACTTTCCAAATCTTCAAAACATTTTGATAGCTGGCATCAAAATTTGTAACCGATTCCAGAATTGGATTAGTAAAATAAATACGAAAGCAAATTAAAAAAATTTTATCATTAGCATTATTCACTGGCAAAACAATTTCAAAAGTAGCACTACTATTACATATAATATAATATTTCATAATTCTCATTTTATTAAAATCCTAATATCTAATTTTAACAGAATATAGCCGTTATTTTAGTATATACGTAGCGATAGAGTGATGGCTTATAATTTAGTATTCCGACATAATTTTTGTATTTCGACATTCATTTTGTTAATTTGCACGCAAAATATATACATGCAGTCTTACAATGCCTTATCGTTATCGTTACATGTACGTATTTGTTTTTTGTTCTGTCGTAATGAACCAATAGCGAGAATACAATTTTAAATCAACCAAAAGAAGAAATCATTTATTTTGTTTGCATAATTACACCCTGAAATTAACTTATTTGGTTAGTTACTTACCTAAACGGGTGCTTTTGATGGTCGATCTTTTCACAATTAGATTGATTCTTATTACGTAATTACCAGCACGTACATGATCAATACCCAATAGAATAAGAAAACGTAAGGGTAATAACTTCAATATTAACCCTAACCCTTACTCAGGTCCGAATTAGCCAATTAAAATGTGATTGTTACAAATAACAGTTGTTGCAAATACATGAACATTTATTCTATTAATAATAAAATATTTAAAAGCTTATAACTTTTCAAGAAAAGAGATGTCATTCTCAAAATAGTGCCAAATTATAATATAAAAGATATACTTTAATGTATTTTTACATTTCAATAAAAGATTCATATAAACTTTATAAGAAATATATATATAATAAAAAACAAAATTTATTATTGTATATCAAATAGATTTGATTTATAGGATATCAATGCTGTCGCTATGTACGACCAATATTTTAAGTCAAATTTAAGCTAGATGCTTTTTTTTTAATTCTAAATTTTAATATTTTATTGGTAAAGTGACTAGTAACTAAAGTATATTCGCCAATTTTACGCTTTATGTGGAAAATTCAATTATGGACCATAAAACAACTACTTAATTACACGTATCCCAATTCATTAATTCCTTTACCAAAATTTGGCGTTCATATGATCCAACTTATAGGACCAATACAATATCAATTTGCTATGTTGCAATCAAACTCCGATAAACTTTAACTACGTAGCGGTAGTAAGTATATCCGTCAAACCTGTCTTCCTTGATCATATCGATATTGACGGATTTACTTCCTAGTTAAGAAGTTTATAACATCTGCTATGCACTATATTCGGTTCATTCACATTAGGCGAAACTCAGTACATGTATACCGTATTTTGCCGTGTACATGTATAAGCAACCTGTGAGATTGGCCGTTTTTAGTAGATGTAATTTTTTTAATTTATCACATGTATTTTGTTATATTAATTATCATATTTATATGTAAACATTTATTTTTCACAAGTTGCTTATACACGGCAAAATATCCCGAATGGGCTGGAGCGGGTAATCGAGGAACATAATCTGCAAAAACTGTCATTCAAGATTAACGAATCTTTTGAGTTCAAGTCAGCTACCGTAGAGCTCTGCCTACAGTGTCCCCTTCCTATAATACCTGCCCGAGTAAAGTACCTCATTTTCCACCAATGAAATCGCTGAAACTGTGAATAGTAAGTATCAGTACTATTCAATGTCAAAAATAAGTATTTTTGAAAAATACTGGGGGGGGGGGGGTACTGTAGGCAGTGCTCTACAGAACGAGTTTTGAACCAGAATCAAATTGAAATACAAGTTCATACATATACATTTGAAACGCCACATTTTGTTAATACAGTCAACCCTCTCTATTGTTAACATGATGGGACCAGGCATTTTTGTTGATATATAAGAGGGTTGATAACTCAGAGGTTAGAGTTAGTATCAATATATTAGTCCAAGTGAAATTTGTTCTGCAATAAATGTTGATAATAGAGAGGTATTGATATTAAAGAGGTTGATAATAGAGAGGGTTGACTGTATTATCAAAAGCTATAATTTTCAACTCAAAAAGCTATTTAAACTTCGATTAAAAAAAATAATCGAATCTTCACCAACGCCATGACCAACAATTCTGAAGTATTTTTTTTTTTGCAAATATCCACCATTTAAAATAAAAATATTGGTCTACTCTAGTCCCTATAAATTATGGATGTTTCATGGGTAAAATTTTCGGTTTAACTATTGCTAATAATGTTAACTAATCGTTATCCCATGGGGTTTATGTATACACCAGTGAAAAATTTCCCATAATATTTATATTCACGTGATTTATAATTATTACATATTCTTATATATCAGATAATGATAATGGATTTCTTTATCATTAGAATTATGATTCATTATATCTTAAGGATTTGGAGGATTTTATGGAGAATATCGATTAGAAATATTGTTTAATGGAGTTCTTGACTGTGTAATATGATTTATAGATCGCGAAGACCGAAGAATTCTTGACTGTAATATAATTTATAGATCGTGAAGGTTAAGGAATTCGTGAATAGTTTTTGTTTTTAAAATCTAAATTAAAAAGAATATATAAATAATAAAATATATAATGCAAAATTCTTTAACTTAACCTGTAATTTCTTTGGTTTTGTAGTTTCACTAATTTTTATATTTTCTTTAGTTTTGGTATTTTCTTTATGAAGTTGATTAGCTAAAATGAATACTGGCGCTAATACTAGAATAAATATATATATATTATTATTATTATAAATAAACTTATTTTCTTGCTCATCATAATTCTCTTCAATAACAGAATCTAAAAATTTATACCATTTCCAGAAAAATAAGCAAATTCTTCATCAAAAATATCTTTAAAATACAAAAAAATTAACATATTGATTCTCATTAGAATTATTATAAGCATGAATTCTTTCTTTATTATAATATTTATAAAATTTTATATATTTATCTTCTGGTATATTAAGTTTTTTTAATTATTGAATTGCTATTTGTCTTAAAAAATAATTGCATATTTTGTGTTCATTATCAAGGCAAGATTAATTTAGCTATTTTAAATAGTATTATACTTAATTTATTTGCATCCATACTGCTTATTTTAAACTAAATATTTTTTTGTAAATTTAAAAAATATATAAAAAATTTAAAATTTGAAAAAACAAAATTTAATAAAATAAAATTATACTTTTTGCTAAATATATTATCTTTAAAAAAAATTTACAAGCTTTAATAAATTGTATTGATAAAAGAAATAAATATTATAATCAAATCAGGTTTAAATCAATTATTAAATGCATTAGAAGGAATAAAAATTTTTCTTGAAAAAGATTTTTCATATTTATTTTTTTTAATGTTTTTTATTAATTATTTTCTTATAAGTATTAGATAAAGTTTATTATCAGAATAATAAGTTATATCAAAAGTACAAAATTTTATGATATCCTTATTTTAAAAATTACAAAAAAAAGAATAGCCAAAAAAATAGATAATTAAGCTTTATTATTATTAATTTGTATAGATTATAATACTTAAATTAGCAAGTTAAAGCTTTTTTATTTTGTTTTTAAGTATTTAATAAATTTTGCTAAATTAATAAGAATTTCATAATTTATATAATTATCAATTACTATTTTTTTTAAATAATAAGCTAATAAAATATAATAATTATAAATACTTTTAGTTTTATAATTATTTTTGTTAATATATTTCAATTAAATAATAAATTAACAAAGAAAATTTTCTAAATCATTTATAAATAATATATATTATTAATTTATATAAAAAACTTTTAATTTGGACTTTTTTATATTTTGATTATCAGTAAAAAATAATTAAATCAAATTTAAAAAGAAATAAAAGCAAAATTTCACCAAAATTTAATATAATATTATAAATTTATCAAGTTTTGTATATTTTAATTTAATTTTTATAATTATAAGTTATTTAATATATAATTTGAAAATTTTTCTGCAAATAATTTTATATAAATAAATTCATATTGAATTTTAATTTCATAATTTCAAATATATAATATACAACAAATATTTTTGTAACACATTTCTCAATGTAAATTTGAAAATTTATTTCTAATAAAAAAATATATTTATTTACTTTTAAAAAATTAGCTTTTTTATTAATATATATTTATCAAATAATTTAAAATATTATTTAAATATTGATATTAATTTCTTTTTTATTTATTTATTATAAAATAATTATAATATTAATTCATCTATTATTATTACTATAATTTAAGTAATTTATACTTAACAATTTGTTTTAATTTTTAAATCTTTTAACTCAATATAGAGATAAAATTTCCAAAATTTGATTAGTAACTTTTTTTATGATAAACTTTGAAAATTTTGTTTTTATATTAAGTTAAAAGTTTTTAAAAATTAAAACAAATTGTTAAATATAAATTACTTGAATTATATATAATAAATATCTAATCAATATTTAAAATCATATATTATTGCAAAGAATAATTAAAATTATTTACAAATTTTTTAAAAAAAGTCAAATTTTATTTTTAATTTGATCTTGTATTGGCTTAATTTATATAAATTATAATTTTTTCTAGAGTTTAAAAATAAAAATCTATATAATCTAATAAAATAAATATTATTAGTATTTTTTCTTATTAAATCATTTTATTTGTTATTCAGTTTTATTAATAATATTAAATTTATTATTTTTATATTTATTAATATAAAAAGAATTTTATTTTAATAAAAATTATAATTAAATTATTAATACTATATAGAATTTTATTAAATAATAAAATTGCTATAAGTTAATATATTTTTGATTAATTTAAAATTTGAGAAATTATTTGTAAAATCAAAAATTAAGTTATATTTCTGATTCAAACTTGTAATAATTTGATATATTTTAAATAAGAATTATAAAATATGACTTTGATTCTGCTTTTATAAATATATATATTATATTTTAATTACAATTATCCCAAATTACAATTAAAATAAAAATATAATTAGAATTAGGATTAGTGCTAAATGATAGATTAAGGATGGTTGCTGAAATGACGTCATCTA